TGAGATCAAAATCCTTGTGTATGTTTCTGAAACATATCTAATCAAATTAGAAAACAAAAGAGCTGCGGAAAGTCCCAATCGTTTGGCCGAAGATACCTTGGCACACACACGTTAAACTTCAATATCATTAACTGATAGTATACTAAGTAAGTAGATGACAGCTCCTTATACACTGAAACTTGCATCTGCGAAAGCTAAAACCATAACAGATTTTGGTTCTATTGCTCCTACATATCTCAGTACTTTAAAATTATCAAGTTCTCCTCATTCTGATCGTATCTTCCATCAAATGTCTGAAATATTATCTGGAGGTATCTCATCCCATTTCAATTTCAGAATCCACAAATTTTTTATCAGTATTTTTGAATACAAAATGAAAGGTGCCAACAAACCAATCGGATCATAACATTTATCAACCGTCGACAAAATTGTTTGTTTTCTACATTTCTGATTAAAACTTTCTGTATACCACTGCATACCTAATGCTTGTGTAACGAAGGAAAAAAGTACATTTCCAGCTAACCGCTGTTATATTGAAATTTCATACAAGAGTTCTTTTGAATTTGTCTATATAACTGCCGAACGTCTGCTGTCAATGCCACCTTGAATAACTGAATGTTCAATGGTAAAGTAACCACATGGTATATAAGTGATATCTTATACCACATGGTATAAGATATCACTTAAGGAAACACTACTGGAGTCATTGGAACTATTGGAACCATTGGAGAACTAGCGTCTAGAACTATCCACACTAGAGTGCTTGTACTACTTTATTTAATAACTGGATGATGATCAATATAATACAATGATGCTTCGTCTGTATACTGACCTGAGGAGTCCCTACTGAAAGAACTAGTATAAATATTTTCACAATCTATATCTTCCGGATTCAAAACAAAACCTTCAGGTACTTCCTCAATTTCCCAAAACTTACGAACAAGGTAGTCAATCGAATGCTGTCTTGTTCCACAAAAAAATAATAAGTACAACATACTTATGGAACTTGTTTTAACCGCTACCGCCGGAGTACCCGCTACCCCAGTAATCCGACCTTCTTCCAATATATTAGCAAATATTTCCACTCCCAAAATACCGTCATTTTCCGCATTTGGTCGAAAGTATTATACCCCAAAGACACCCCTTGTAACGCGGGAAATTTGCTTATATCAATTTTAAATTATAGTAAATTGTTGGTGATTCTGTCAAGCACTAATGCCCTAAGTGTATATTTATTATTTGGATTATAACGTGAGGCAACTGTTGAAACAGTACTTTCCTTAACTTTCTGAAGAGTACCTCCCAAACCATATATTGAAAAATAACTTTTCGAAATTTTCAAGCCCAATCTTCTATAACACCCGACTATTAGCAAATTGGCTTCACTGCCTGAATCTGAAATAAATCTCTCGAAATCCATCTTCAATTTAGTCAGGTTGGAGGCTCCCTTACTCTTTGAACTGATGTTTGCCAGAAGGACAAACGGGTCATAACTGATATGGGTGTTAAATGGTATGGCGGTATGAATGTCCTCAGACATCAGTACCGCCCTTCACGGTGTACCCCTGCCTGGCTGGGGTGAATTGGATGAAAACGTTGTTCATCTTTCATCGGAAGATATAGGGGCCTCATTCGATAGAGTGTCGGGGCCTTCTATATCGGGAGGGGTCGTCTATAGTATAATCCATAGCTTCCCTGACTAATGTGAAATAAATCTAGCTGTAGCATTTTCAATTAAACTTGTTTCCACAGCAACCACCATAGAAGAAAGCAAAGTTGTATAGTTTGAATCATCCTTTAACGATACCGCATTGGGTTCCGATCATAAATGTACATCAACCGCTGATGTATCATTACTAACCGTCTCCCCCTTCTCACTGTCTGATTCTGAGGCCACACCCCCATTCGATTCACTGTACATAACTGCTTGTTAAAGCAATTTCTTACAATGTGTGGAGGTTAAGTGGTAGAACAAACCTGTAGTGTTCTACACTGCAGTTTTGAACTTCGCCTTTTGGATGTTATATTGTATTTCACTCAATAAAGATCATTATTATTATTATTACTATTATTATTTGACAAACAATTGTAACATATCTTACAGCTTCATATCTTTGTCCAATGATAAGGATTTGAATTTATCACATCTGTTGAAGAGGCATTATCGTGAATCATATTCTTGAAGAGCGAATGAAACTTTCCCCTCTGACATATTTCTCTCGAAAATACTGGTACTTCAATTTTCGGCAGCAGAGGTAATCTATTGTTATCGACTATAATATTATGAATGGACTAAGCCATTATTTAATGAAAATCAATAACATTATTCATAACAATTGAACAATTTTCAGAAACATTTTTTTTTCTACACGTGTTTCACTAAAGCCAAAGCTTCCTCAGTAGAAATTAATATTACACATTGAGCTTCAATTTTTATATACAATAGTATAGGTACTTAACTTAATTAGTTTATAGTTGGGCGTTCAACAGGGAACTCGAATGTTTACCCTTATTTATTTTCAGAAACTCCAGCAGGTTCAACTTCTGTGCCTTGAGAGAAGTGTTGAAATCGTCATCGTTCTCCACAAAGTGGCACACATAGGTGGAATTGGTTTTCTTCAGTTCACAACTTTTTTATGTTCAAATATTCTCGTTTCAAAATTCTTTGAAGTCCTTCCTACATACACTTCTGGGCATGATCTGCATATTAGTTTGTAGACACCTAATCTGTTATCCTTGTGTATGTGTGACTTGTTGTTCTTTACATGTCTACCCAAAGAGTTACCGGCTATGCTAATATTTTGTTTATTCAATAGTTTTTTTATTTTATCTGATGTTTTCCGGTATATGTGAGTGTCTTGAAGGTGTCAGTATATTTTATGTGAGGGTATACTTGATTAATAGCTTGTTTGAAACGTTTTTATCAAGAATGTGATGAATTACATTTGGGTTGAAGTTGTTATTGACTGAAATTGGTTTTACCAGGCCTATTTCGTTATTAAAATTCGTGGACAATGGTATGTTAATGAGCCTGTGGATCATACTGACATAAGCTGCTAATTTATGTTGCTGGAGGTGATTGGTATAGTTGTTTATAGGTGTGTCTGTATGGATTGGATTATGATAAATTGTGAAATCGTGCTTATTATTAATTTTAGTAATGGTGAGATTGGTTTCTAGTTCTATTGTGAATTAGGAACCAATAATTCGATAAACCATTTAATAACCATGACTTTCAAATTATTAGCTATGAGTAAAGGATTGCAAATGTTTGGTTTTGTTTCAAGAAACACTGATTGTTTCTCTTCAGCACTTCACACAACCAACTTAGAACACATTCAAAATAAGTTTTTGAAGTGTGTGGCTTTTAGAATGGGGTTTCTCTTTGGTATATAAACATATTATCAAATACTAAAGGTAATTTGGGTGATAATCACCTTCAAATAAATGCATTTATGAAAGGTAAATATGATCCTATTCACTGAAAATTACTACAGGTACATAATGGCATTGTCTAAATATACATAGTAAGTCAGAGACTGACAGGACAAAGTAACATGAAATAGGTCCTCTTCCTACTTTTCTACTAAAAATTAGGAAAAAAAAGTCAAGTATAAGGTCTGCATCATTGTTAAATTGTGTCTATCATATTATGCTCAAAAGGTGAATTAGATAGTAGAAAAAGTTTAAATTTCAAATAGCAGCTTCAGGCGACTGAAAATGTTAATTTCATATAAGAATGGTGGAATACAGTGATGGGATCATTCAAATTAAAAATAATCGGTCATTCGATTATTGCAATCACTCGAGATATCTTGAGATGTCAAAAGGAAACATTCGAATGATTCAGATCATTCGAATGTTGAATATATCGAATCAAATTAGTAGTGAGTGAAATAGTCGAAACAGTATTAAAGTCTTGTGCCACTACGCACCAGTGCAGTGCCGGCCTATATACCGACACTTGTTTGTATGATGTAGTGAAATACAGATTTGGGCTGAGAATATTCAGAAATTTGTTGACGATAAACTTTGAATAATTACAAGTACAAACTTTATTGAAATTTAATGGTGGCTTGTTAAAATATATTGAAAACATAAACAAAAAATAAAAGTCCTTACAAAAATGAAAATAAATTACCTATTCGTTGGTTCAAATTGTTAGTGTTACCAAAAAACTTGCAAATTCGACACTGAACTTGACCATTTTCTATTTTGTCGAAATGCTCCCAAACAATAGATTTCTTAGCTCCAGGCCGCATTGTTCAATATCAAAACAGTAATAATAACGGAATAAAGGTATCAACTACACAATAAGAGAAGAAAAAATAATTAAATAAATGAGTAATAACAGAAATTTTTTTGCAACGGCTTCGAATCCTCCAAACTGAAAAATTATTGCCACTGTTTCAATTTCAATGCTCTCTGTTTGTATTCTTAGTGCGACAAATTCAAACAATCCTAACTCATAAAATAATCCAATTCATTCCGAATTTCGCCATTAATGTGGGCGTTTCACATGGCACATGACCTCATGAGCATCGAGTGACTGCGTGCTTATTGCTCGCATCGCCGGATCTCGATTTAAATCGGTGAGTGACGAAGTATCCGAGTGATTTAATTCGAATGATATTTTGATTTTTGGGAACACTCGAGTACTCATCATTCGATTCTCAGAATCATCCGATTATGCCCATCACTAGTGGAATAGCCTTTAATTTTGTTACTTTCTGTAGATATTTCATACAAACATTTATTGAATAAATTAGAATAATTGATTGTTATTTATTATTCATGAAAACTTTCATATTTTTTTTGTACTAGATTACAAAAACTATACCGAGTATTAGAAGACTAGGCGAGTAGTGGTGCTATAAGGCTTTTCATCAATGAACACACTAGTTATAATTGCATGATAGATATGTGAAACATAAGTACAGTAAAACTAACATTTCAGTATTCATCATTGAAAAAAACTATTATTTGATACTGTGCGAACATTAAAAAATACTCACTGACGAAGGGGAAGCACCATTATCAGTTAATCCTTTAACTTTCAGCATTTCTGCTACCCTCATGAATGTGGGTATTTCTTCCTGGCTGACACTTACTTCCCCTTGGTACATGAAATGCATTAAACTGGTAAGAGCCTCGTAATTCACTTCAGGAAGGATAACTATAGGATGTTTGCACGGATTAACCCTGAAGAGTTCCTTGAAAAATGGACTACATACTGATAATACTGTCTTATGGGCTTTAATAAATTTTCCCTCAGCAGCTAAAGTAACATCTACTAAATCTTCATCTTTCAAAAGGGAATGGAAACCAGAACTCAAATTTGTATGGAAATTATTCCAACATAATGAAAATTGCTCTCCTTCCATACTGACTTTTTTGTAAACAGTACTTGTAAAAAATAATAAAAAAACTTGGTACTCTTATCCTGAAGGTTCTTTTGCACTTACACAACACCGTGATAAAAATGTAATTGGTGTGTCATGATGATAATTCGATTATATTTTACTTGAAATCAAATCAGTTCGGTTCTCCACTTTTTCATCTTTTTGCAGTTTCACCACTAAAAATACCGCCATCCATATCAACTATCAACTACCCACATGAAAACAATGAAAATGGTGGAGGCAATGACGAAATAATAAATATGGACTGGTCATTGAAGAGAAAGCATTGACTTCAACAACTGAAAAAAGATGAAAAGATTCACGTTTTGGAATTTACGTCACTAATACAGATACGTCACGTTTTACGTGTTGCATATTTTCATGTGAATATTTTGGGATTTGATTCTTCACATTATGCTGTGTCACAGTGGCCAAGACGTATGATCCACAGGTGGAATGTAATCAACGATTATGGACATACAGGATTGCTTACTTTTGCGATTTCGTTAGACACGTCATGTGGTCTCGTGACGTAACAGTGGTGACGATTGATTCGGTACTGCACTTTTAAATTAAAATAAACAAATTTCAGGTAAATCCCTTATTAAAATATTATTTTTATATAGGATCAAATTTTTTTAAGTGACCTATTTTCGTCAGCCTTTAAGTTATTATATTTCATTCTGATAATTGTTCGCAGTTTGCAAAATTCAAAAATAATGTTTAAAGAAAAATCTTCTCTTTTTGCAGTTTTTTTTAACTTACAAAGCAAAGGCAAACCTATAAAAAAACCATATTTATTTTAAGCAGTGAATTAATAGAATAAGTTTTTACCTAACAATTCATTTTCAAGGTCTCGTTCATAATCATTTTCTGAAAAATGTTTAGAACAAACAAATCCATTTTTGAGGGGGAATGTATTCCCTCTTTTGCAACGACGAATCCATTATTTTTGCAAAGTTGTAGAAATCATATCCTTGGCAATAGGAAAAGAGTGAAATATTACATCAGTAACACCACTTTTCTTTAAAGTCAACTGATTGCTTTTGCAAGTTGACACTGCACAAATACGACCAGACATTTTAACTAAAAATTACAAGGTTATTTAATGGTTAGACAATTATTACTATTACTTACAAAAATGTAAATATTTCCAATTTTTACCTTAATTTAATTCAAAAATGTTTAAAAAACAAACAAAGTTCCACAATGGCGAAAAACAAACCTCAAAACGAAAGAAAATAACAGAGTCTTATATAGCGTCTACTCGTTACACCAGTTTAAAAAATGTCCAAAAGCACAAAAAAATACAACTTTCACGATAACAAACTCAATGTTTCAGAAACCTAATTGGTATAGTTAAATAAAAATTTAATCAAAATATACAAAAACAATGTAATACTGTCCGAAAATATTCCTCAAAAAATGTTAAAATAACACAGTCTTATGGCAGCTACTAAAAGTGTCAATAGTGTTACGTCACATCTGCTCGGCGCTTGTTGAACGTGGCGATATATGTAAGTAAGCAATCCTATATGTCCATAATCGTTGGAATGTAATGTGTAAAAATGACTTCACTCCCAGTCCATTATATCATGTCTATGATGAAACCGAAGTGATATGCAATGTTGCCAACATTGATTTGAGGATAGTCTACTGTGGTCTAGGTATGTTTGTTCACACTAATTTTATTCCAGATCTGTCATTCCCACCTAAAGTTTATTCGCTCTCTCTGCTTGATCAAAATACATTGAGCAGAGATAGCGAGAAACTTTTGAAGGGAATGACTCAATCTGGATGTCATCAAAACACAAGAAAAGAGTAAATTCAATTTCCATTTCTAATTTGTAGTATAAATAAACGGCAATGCTGTTGAATGAAGTCATCGATTACTTTACGATAACTTCTTCTAAAGAATGAGATTATATTATATCATTATCATATCATGCACAAGTAACCTCCCGATTACGATATGGCATATGTTTCTGGGGTGTTTCCACTCGAGCACCAGTCGTATTTATTGCACAAAAACGCCTTTTAAAAATTATTTGGGGTACCCCAAGCAAAGCATCCTGTAGACCGAGTTTTAAAGAATCAAAAATTTTAACAATGTCAAGTATTTTAATTTTCGAAATGTGTGTATACGTATACACAAATAAAAATAAGTTTACTAAAATGCAACAAGTTCATACTTAGTTATAATACAAGGAATTGCGCTGATTTCCACATTCCCTACTATAAATATGTTGTATCTTCGAAATCTTCTGAATATTTGACTCTGAGGATTTTTAATAAACTACCTAAATAATTAGTTAGTCTCGCCAGTTACGTGGTCATAGTTCCCACGACACGGCCATTCACACGGAGATTCAGCTGAGTAAGAGATATTCCAGGAATCCCTTATCTCGACATGCAGTTAGCATCCAGTTAACATTATATTAATTATCATTCTGTTTGTAGCTCTCGTAAGAGACAGTCGTCTCTAGTTTGTAAAATAAATTCTTTTTAAAAAGTTATTTTCTCGTTCCAATCATTTAATTCG